AAGAGGGGAAGGTAGGGAAAGTGTGATGAAAAATTTTCCTTTTTCCTTACTTTTTCTATGTTGTACTTTTCTAAAGCTTGAGTTGCACAATCCACGGCGTCCTGTTGCATTTCCTCAGACATGTCAGCATTTTTAATGACTGCTTTTCTATCCGACATTTTTCTAGGTTCCTTCCTTCGAAAACAACAAAAACAACAACAAAAAAAATTAATTTTCCAAGTTTATTACAATTTAATTCGGGGGGTGGGGGTGGGGGGGTGGTTTCTTGTAAACAATAAAAGACAGGACTACTTAGTACAGTATTTTTACAATCGATAATGAAATCATGGAAGAATACACGGTTTTCTTTTAATCCAATACAAAAAACAAATTTTATTATGAAATTTCAATCATAATCAATTAAGCGAAATTAAATCAATTATTGTAAATAATAATAATAATACTAATAATGATAGTATTTAACGTTTAAAAAATTTTATATATAAAAAATCAATCAAGTACCCATTAATTTCAATTTTCAATTCAATGTTTAACGTTGAACACATTTGTTTTGTTTTTATTTTAAAATATTTGTACACATTTTTTTTATTGTTATCTTATGTTATTGTAACAAACCGAAAAAAAAAAATTAATGACTAATTAATGATTAATAATAAATTTTTTTTTGCAGCTTCGTTCCCTTTAAAAAAAAAAAAAAACTTTTTCGTAAAACACTAACAATAACAATTTATGCCCAATCATCACACGAGATACAATATCAATAAGAAAGCTAAAAGCTAAAAAAAAAGCTAAAAAAAAAAAAAAATTTAAAACCAATAAATAATCGAAAAAAACAAAAAATTTTTAATTTAATATTTATATATATAAAGAGAGAGAGAGAGAGAGAGAGAGAGAGAGAACAATTTGATCTATAAAAACGTGACAAATTTCTAATTATATTATTTTTTTCAAAATGTCGGGCGAAATGTTTAAATATTAGGCGGATTATAATCAAGGTAAATCCATATTTAGACGTTTCCCCTCCCCTCCTCCTCCCGATTATTTAAGAGTTTTCCTACATTAACATTTATTAGGATGGTTTTTTTTTTTTTTTTTTTTTTTTGGTTTGGTTTTCATTGGGATCTCCCGGGACAAAAAATTAAAAATAATCTTCTTTCCTCCTCCCCCTACCCCCTTTTATATTTAAACGAAAACACTTTTTATTTCGATAAATTTCAAAAATGATAAAAAATTAATCATTATCATATCTATGTATGTAAGACTATTTATTGAGTGTAAAAAAAATTATTTTTAACATAACACACACACACACAAATAAACGAAAACGGAATAATTAATTATTATAAAATTAAAAAATATTTTTACAAATAACACCCGCACACCCTCCCCCCCTCCCGGTTCAAGAATACAATGTTCTCATAACAAAATTTTTAGGGAAAATTCTTTCAAAAAAAAATTTACAAAAAAAAAAAAAAAAAAAAAAAAACAACAGAATTTTCCTAAAAATTTTTTGTTGTTGTATATATATATTCACTGATTTTACAATGTTTTACTATATGTATATATATCACTACTTCTACTTTGCTATTTTTGTCGAATTATAACATATTAAAGAATCATATATATTTTTTTTATTTTTTAAATAATTTAAAAATCACGCAACCATTTTTTTTTATTATTATTATTATTTTTATTATTTTTTCCAATGATTTTCTTAAACGTATGCAAAAAAAAAAAATACAACATGATAAATGATTAATTTAATAAATAAAAAAAATATCTGAAAACTATTGGAATGAAATATCATGTGTACGCATATATATCTGCCATTTTCAAAATATGATGATTTACATTGAACATTACTAATAATAATAATATCATTTTATTAAAAAAACAGGTATTCGAGAGGCATACGTGTTAATCGTATGCGAAAAACTTCAGGATCAAAATGCGCCCGTGAGTGTAAGTATTATATTATTATTATTAAAAAAAAAAAAAAAAAAAAAAACTTTTTTTTTTTTTTTAAATCCTGGCAACGGACATGCCCCCTAATAATATGTTTCCAAATTGATTCTAACCAATTGTTTACTTTTTTTTTTTCCCTCTCTCTCTCTCTCTCTTACTCTCTCTCTTTCACTTTCTTAATAAAAACAATGGAAAACCTAACCTCAATTTAACACATAACATGATAATTGTGAAAAAAAAATATTTTGTAAAAAATGTCAAAAAAAAACGGTCGGAAAGGAAGGGGGAAAAGGGGAAAAAGGGGGAGGGGAGGGAAAAGGGAATACAAAAAAATTAATTTTTTTTTTTAACAACAATATGCACGTAATGATTAATTACAGTATTGCTGCTACAAATGATTACTATTGATAATCAAAACATTTTCTTTTCTTTTTTTTTCTTTCAATCAATCAATCAATAAAATAAATTCAAAATTATGTAAATATTTCATTACTAATAATAATAATTACATTCTGCAATTCTGAAAATTGATATAAATAAAAAAAAAAATTCAAATATGAATCGAACGTTACTTTTCCGGACTTGACTTGATGTAAAAACATTTATTAACTTAATTAAGAATTGAATTCCTTCGAGGAATATACACACATACATGAACAAATTTTCAACTTATTTATTTGCATTGAGTTAATAATTTTCCAAACAAGTGTAAAATCGTACTGAAAAAGGTTTATTACCATCCTTTTTGATACATACATTGACTTATATAGAGTCGCAGTCTATTTACCCCCCCCCACCCCCGCAAAAAAGCATCGTTTTAAACAATTCGAAATAGAGTTTGTTTGTGTTCTTATCGATTCGAGGAAACCCCAAAATAAAAAAATACATCCAAGCATACACCAGGTATTAACCGTTTAAGGTATGAGATACATAAAGGTTGAGATGCTGCTCTCAGGTTGTAAGATTTAATTGATGTCGGTCTGTCGGGGGGGGGGGGAAATCAATCAAATTATCACGATAATGCGAAAATACAAAGAAAAATCATTTCATCGGTTTTTTATTTAATAATAATAATAATAATAATAATTTTTTGCAAAACGGGGTCTCACCACTACTAAATGCACAAGGTCGAATAAAAGTAGTAGCTCATAAAGGAATAAAAGAGCCTTTATGTAGGTTTCTAACATTAAAAATTTAAAAATATTCTTTGAAAATTTAATAATTAATATACTGGGAATGTTATTGATGAAAATAAGGGGATTATCAATATTCATCATGTCTTTTTATATTCTCTTTCTGTAAGTAATGGGGGAGGGGGGGAAACCTTTATACATATTTTTACTACTTATAATTTCATTGATAATAATATTAAGTTTTTTTAAAATCTAATTTTAGCTACTTGTATTTATATTTTTAATGAGACAAGGCAGCCATTATCTTACACGTTATGAAAATAAATAGACTTATCATAAGAACATAAACAAATGACAAAATGTGAATAATATATATAATAAATATGATGATATTTTATGCAAACAAAAATTTAAAAAAAAAAAAAATATTGCATAATGTTTTAATTAATTAATTAATTAATTACTAGTGAAAGAAACTATATTTCATTTTAAATAAAAAAAACTTGTGTTTCTAACCTATAAAATATTTTTTTTCTATAATAAACTGGTCAGATTTTTTTTTATTATTTTCAATTGATTATTAACTGTCATTAATCATTTAAAAAGTTATTAAAAAATTCAAAATTATTTATTATTATAATAAGAAAGTATTAGGGAAACACTTGATAAATTAAACATTCCCTTTACAAGTTGAATTTGAATATATATTAAATTATTTCTTAACAAAAAACCAAATTGTAATTAAATAAAAACTTACTCATCAGATTGTTCATTTCAGGTTATTTTATTTATAACAAATATTTTATAAAAACTTTTTATTTTTTTTTAAATGTTTGAAAGAAAAATTGATCTCATATCGTTGTTGACTACGCCTACCGGTTTATAATTTAATTCAAAATACAAATTACAATAAACAATAATTTAAAAAAATAATTTGTTATTTAAAATAATAACGAGCTCGAAATAAAGTATTTAATAATCGTTGACATCAAACAATATAAAAAATAAATATTAAAAAATGATTCGAGTTATTATAAAAGTGAAAAATCCAGGTGAACTGACCAGCAATTTTTTTTTCTTTTTTTTTTTCTTTTTTTTTTTTTAGGGAATATTTTAACATAACGTAATAAATGTGTTTTAATAACGGTTAAAAACTTACCTAGGTTATTTAAACAATCACTAACTAATTATTATTTACAATTTTAACCACTGAATATTAACAATAAAGTAAAAAATTGTTAATTAAATCAGCGAATTGCTCGGCACTCGACTCCACAATTTTCTGTTTGATGAACGAAAATGGCTGCCTTGACGAATAAATAAATCCTTCTCATTGGTCAATTATTAGAGTCTTCTATCAGAGTCTTCTATCCTATCGGCATGATTTAGGAATGAGCGGAATTTTTCAACCAATGGAATATTAAAAAAAAAAATTTTACTGAACCCTGGAATTGTTTTTCCCTCATGCTTACCTATATATATATATATATATATATTTTTTTTTTTAAATAAATAAATAAGTATTTATATTTATATTGATAATTTTATATTATTATTCTTTTATTATTTATTATTAAAAAAATTTAAACCATTATGAATTTTGACAAGTATTAAAAACAAAAATCGGATATTACTTTATAATAGTTGTTTAAAAAAAAAAACTTTTCCAGAAATTTATATTAAAAAAGATTTTTAATTTCTTTTTAAATTTATTTAAAGAAAATCAAAAAGGTTTCAAATTAAAATAAAATTATTAATAAGGGACAATATTGTAAAAAATTTTTAATTTATTAAGTTTTCCCTCCCAAAAAATTTATAAAATTTTCTTTTCTTACTAACAAAAAACTATGAAAAAAGAAAAGCAAGATGGAGGTGCTCATTAAAAATTTTCTCAATTAATACTATTAATTAATTAAAATAACTAAAAATTATAGAAATGTATAAATTTTCAATGCAATTATATAAATACTAAAAGAAAAACTAATGTTGAACTTATAGAAAAACAGAAGAAAAAAAAAAACTATTAAAA